ACATTCACTTTCAGGAATGAGTTTGCATTTACAATGCTTATCACAAGTCACATTTTCAATTGGGCTATAATCATATGGGCATGCTTTATTATTTTCATACCACATTGATTGTAAACATCACATTCATATTTTGAAAGAATATTTTGAGAACTCTTGTTGTTCTCCTTTTTACAACAACAACAACAACAACAACAACCCAGTATAATCCCACTAGTGGGGTCTGGGGAGGGTAGTGTGTATGCAGACCTTACCCCTACCCTGGGGTAGATAGGCTGTTTCCGATAGACCCTCGGCTTCCTCCCTCCAAGAACTCCCCACCATGCTCTTGGGGTGACTCGAACTCACAACCTCTTGGTTGGAAGTGGAGGGTGCTCACCACTAGAGCAACCCACTCTTCTCCTTTTTACAATTACCATAATGATGACTATTATTATTTTGTTGTTTGGCACCCCCACGTTTATTGGTCAGTCACTTATCTTCATTTATACTTATTATGCACCGCTACCACATTCACTTCAAGAATGGAGCAAATCAAGTGGGACAAGGTCCATGCTTTTTCATGTAAAATACATTATTTTTCTTTAGTCATCATTATATCATCAATATGGTACATTGGGACTCAAACCCAATGGCTTACCTATATAAAGGCATGTTAGGCCATAATGAATTGGTACTCAAATCCAACTCTTATCATTATGAATTGGGACTCACAACATAAGATTGTTGAGAAAACACATCTTCCAAGAACACTTTGCAGACCTTCTAACAATCTGTAAAAAGAAATACTCCAAATAGCAAAGATTATTAAATCTAAAACAAACAAAGTATAATTGCATAAATAATTAATGATAGATAGCAATATTATATGGTAAGTACCTGCATCAGATATGTATATCATTTTGATCTTTTGGTAGAAATAAGTTATTACCTTTTTTTTTTTGGTTTTTAAAGACTAGCTTATATTATAATATTAAAAGGATGTTACAGGGAGCGGCTGCTCTTGGGCAGCATTAGAAGAAGTGCTAGGAATAACATTAACTGCACTATTGTGCATTGCTACGCTGTGACTAATAGTATTACTATTGCTATGGTTTGAGTGATATGGGGAGTCTCTGTGGGAGACATTGCTTGTAGATGGCATGTCCCACAGATTACAAAAAGTGTTTAGTGGTTCATACATGGCAGTTGTACTACTCATTCTAGGTGTTGCATGGCCCTTTTTATCTTGCATGAGAAGGTTGATGATGAGCGGAGGAGGGTCTGCCAAAAAGGTGATGTTACTGCCCGATAATTCCATTCCAAAAAGTGCTAGTCGATCTGCTACCATATTTTGCTCCCTGTAGGTGTGACTGACCATTGGATTACTCAGTTGCCGGATCAGGAACATGCAATTAGTTAGCAAAGATGAGTATTGTATGGTATGTGTGTTCAACATGGATATTACCTGTTGGGCATCCATCTGGATTTTCAGCGGGGTTAGATTGTGATGGACTGCTATTTGCAAACCACGTAGTAAGACCATCAGTTCTATATCTATGACATTGGATGCTTGGTAATGACCCGCATATCCCATTACCCAATCACCTGTGTGATTTCTAAATATCCCCCCAAAGCCTGCTCGTGATTTGTTCCAATGGAATGCCCCATCTGTATTTAATGTGATGAGCCCCTTTGTAGGTGGTTTCCATTTGACATACATAGGCATTGTAATTGTGTTAGTTAAAAAAAGATGTTCAGTAGTTAATTGAATAATTGAATTGATTGAAGGCTGGATCACTACATTTTCAAAACAATTTTTGTTTCGAGTATTCCACAAATGCCATAATGTGAAAGGAATCAGCTGTTTTAGAGGTATGGCATGTGTGTGGAAATTGCCCTTTTGATTAACAAGTGTTTTAAGCCGGATATGGTTGGGAGTTCCCTGGGTGTCTATTGATCGTGTAAGGTGTAATAGTTTTAGATTTTGCCAACAATGATTTGCATGCACACAACGTAGTAGTATGTGTGTAATAGTCTCTTCTTCCACTTGGCAAATGGTGCACATATTTGAGGAAGTGATTCCCAATTTATGCAGGTAGTCTTTGGTAGGCAATCTATTGTGACTAATTAGCCATAGGAAGTGTTTGATTTTGGGAAGCATTTTTAATTGCCAAATCCAACCATGATTGTTGGCATTATTAGGTGAATTAGTGAGAGCTTTATAGCAAGAGCTGACAGAGAAGTTACCCGTGGGTGTTAATCCCCATATTATATGATCGGGGTTTGTCCCATAAGCACTGATGTAAGTATTATTAATTATGTGGATTATCTGTTGAGGTAATTCAAAGGATAGAGGGAGCTAGGGCAGTTGTTAAGTTGAAGCACATTTGCTACTGAGAGTAGGTGTTCATTATTATGTAAAGGCCCATATTCTCGTATTTAAATGTCAATAATTTCAATTTCGCAAAAGTTACTCTTCATATTCAATTAATGTGAACAAATAAAAAAAATAATAGTCCATGTAAACTGATGAAATTTAGAAGAATATAACTATTGAATATAGTAACATACTTTTTGATATATGATACAGTAACATACCTCATGCTGATACAATAACATACCTCATTCCATAAAATATATAGTACTAATTGATACTAATGACTCATGTGCAGAAGTGTGATTACATGATGTTTATTCACTAGTTACTACGAATATGCAAAAAAAAAAAAAAAAAA